GTGTGAGAATTAATCTATTATCATACAATAATATTGTATAGCATCACTAGTACTTAGCACCGATTTAAGCAGTAGTAAATACATCCTACATTTGTTGATCAATTGTAATTTTTATTTTAACCAATTACAAGACGAGAGATTCACAGCCACCTAAAATAGTGCAAAGGACTAAAAATTCTACATCGCATTATTCAATTATTATATCATTATAATAACTTATTCCTCACTATGCATACTTCATTTTGCATAATTATTACCAAAAACACACTTCATCTACATACATTGTATACCATTTCGCATAATACTCTGTAATTATAGACTTCCTTTAAGCGCCAATTTGGAATGACTTCAAATTTTCTAAAAAAAAAAATTAAAGTTAAAGTTGATAATCAATTTAAACAGTACATTTAATGAGATCTATAATTTTTATCAAATTTTGGAATCGTATATTTTAGAAAATGTATTTTTTTTTTTAAAATAACACAATCTTCAATAAAATAAAATGACACTGAGTCAAACACTAATCCTTATTTTTTAAAAAACTATTATTTTAAAAAATATTTTTTTTCAAATTTCCAGTAAAATGAAGCCCAAACAGGGCTAAATATTTTTTTTCTTTGAAGAAAATTCGTAAAACTTTTATCAAGGCTGATGCTTTGTACCGTAGCACGCCACCTTGTAGACGTGTATGGTCCTCCACATTGATCGGGTGTGGAAGTCCTCCACGCCTCATTTCCCACTCACACTTTTCATAGGATAGACATACATCTCATAGCAAACACAATCATTGACATTTGAAAACTTTTACTTCATGTATGCTTATAGATGCATTGACATGAATGAATATCTCATGAAAACACAAATGACATAAAGTATTATGAATCAAATGTCAAGTTCACATAATAACAATNGACATTTGAAAACTTTTACTTCATGTATGCTTATAGATGCATTGACATGAATGAATTTCTCATGAAAACACATATGACAAAAAGTATAATGAATCAAATGTCAAGTTCACATAATAACAATTTAGTAACACGTTTACACATCTAATGAAGTAACATAAGGATGAAGACAATGGGAGGTTTACTTACCTGAAGTTCTTAGCAAAATTTAATTTCAAAAAAGTAAGAGGAAATGTCCTTAGTCGCCCATAAAGTCAACGTCATGAAATCCTAGTTCATTATCATTTATTTAGAAACTTTAATAAAATTCACTATTTAAACATGATCCATAACATTGATCTATTAATTTAAATCTATTTATACACTCGAACTATAAATTAAAAGCGTATAGAAATATAAAAAGAATAAAAGTTAGATTTTCAGTTAAAGAAACATTCTTAGCTCATAAAGTACTGTTTGGCGAAATTATTTCTACTACATAAATTTATGGATATTAAGCTAAAGTTAAATGATAGAATAACGTTTTAAAAGTAAAAAGACAGTAGAAATTTGTCAAGAATAATACCAATATTTCGATTACTATATGCATCATTCAAAAAATCTATACAAAATGAATTACTTAGAAGAATATAATTGTTCCAAACAAGATATTACCTAAGAATTATATTGTTGTGATTAGTTTAGAAGTACATACTGAATCTTCAAAAGTCAAAGAGCAAGAATTTACAGGAACATTTCGTTTCTGAGCAGAAGAGTCGTTTTGCAAGTAGTGTAAGATCAATTGCGTATTAATCAATATTAACGACCTCATTTAATTAGTAAAAGTGAAAAAACCAATAAAAGAAGAAGTTAAACGAAAAAACCAATTAATCGCATCTAATTAAAAATGGTTAATTATTACAACTGGGACCTTTGAGAGTAATGCTCAGAACTTTACCCATAAAAATTCAATATTAATCACACGTATACATACACAATTATATATATATATAGCAGGGAGATGGAAATAGTAAGAGA